GCCAATGCAGTGTTTCTTTTAACGCCTCTCTGCACAGACGCGGTGCCAGGACTCGCAAGCGCAAGCCAAAAACTGCTTATGCTTAGCAGATCGCAGACACGTGGCACCATCAGGTAGGGAAAGTGCTTTTTCGCAGTGCTTCCTCACAGAACGTCCCCATCCTGCCTAGCAATTTACTGGCGCCCACCGTCTACATATGGTCACACGCCTTTCGCTGAAACTCAGGTAAGGATATGCAGTGCTGCCTCCCACATGCAGAGACAGAAGCTATCCTCAGTGATTGCAACAGGCTGTATGAGTTTCAATAGCTCATGGGCTCTTCTTCCGTGCTACACGACACATCAAATGCAAGCAAAGCCTCGTGCAATGGGTGCTTGAAGTTTAGATGCAGCGCGAGATGGTACGAGTGCTCACCCAGCTCCGGCGTCGCCGCCAGCAGCGCACAGACGGATTGGGCCCTTATTGCCTCGCTATGTTGGAAGGGCAGAGCACGCGGATCTACATGCAGCAGCTTCTAATGTCTGCGGACTCAACTGACCTGCAGTGCGCTGTACGGTGTACAGCACACCACGTCCTTGTACTAGCCACTTTTTGCAATGAGCGGGATTGTGGTCAGTTGACTAGAATCCCGCTCCTTGCAACAAGCGGCAAGTACACTGTGCGGCACCGCACGTCTGGGAAGTTCCATTGCTGCTGATCAACCATTTCGCGGACTGGGGAGGACTATTGCTCATAAGCTGTACTCAAACCTAGCCCCGCGACATTCCTGCAATTCTTTTGGACTAAACGTGCCATCGGTACGGACGCCGGACGCTGTAGCTGCTCTGTCAAACGGATAAAGGTACGCGGCTCGCGTTTCATTGTCAGCACTAGCCCCGCGTTGAATTGTTAGATTGTTCACGTCGCCTACATAAGAGAAGTCTGGAAAGGCGGTGCTTAACCTTCAGATGTCTCTCATATGTGCTGAAGCAGGCACCAGCCTATAACGTGACCACGTACGGTTACAGCCTTTCCGGTTTAAGACAAGCAAGGCAATGAGCCGTTGACACTGATTTGAAAGCCAATGTGGAGCACGCGCACGTCCCAGTGCTGGCACAGCCAAATTTGCGGCGTATGTAGTCGTTTCTGTTCCGCGACAATGTGCTGTATTTGCGCTTTAGCCGAACATCACAAAACTGATATCTGACGCGATGACGTGAAGCATGTACCCAATTTGTACATGCACTTCAGCTGCGAACCTCACAAGAATGAGGTCTGCCAGGACGATTTGAAGCGTGCGCTCAGCTTTGTCTCTTCAAGCTGCAAGTAAAGCACAAGAAAGAAAGACTCCATAACAAGTATTCGCTGAGTTTCCTCCCATGCAGAGGGGCAGCACTCATTGAGAAGACGGCATACGGCATCCAGTCGATAGCGCTGCTTTGGCAAGTCTAACGCACCAGTTTCTCATAGTCTTCTCGTGGAATTTGTCGCGTAACCTGCAAATAAAAAGAGATGCTAGCAATCAAGTGAGTACTGCAGTACGATTCAGGCCTGAACGAGTGAAATGTTCAGTTGCCTGAAAATTTCCCAAAATGTAGAAGCTGCTAGGCAGTTAAAAAACTTTGAGCTACCAGCACAGTGCAAACGAAACGGTGGCCTGTGTCGAAGTGGAGCCTGTTGACTCTTGCCTGAAGATCACGGTCTCTATCAAAACGCTGCCACGGTTGACCCTTCTTCGCATCGTCCTGCTGCAGCATGAAGCACCCACCATCGCAGAGATACAGCATCACCAATCCAGCGTAACCTGTGGTTTTTTCATCACCGTTACTTGTAACCGACAAAACGCAAGTATCCGGGATCCTTGACAGTTTTCGTGGTGCTCCATACGCACAAACTCCTGTTCAACCGCCTGCTCTGCCGCCCGCTTGCCCCAGACGTTTCGAGCCGCATCCATGCTTCGTTTCCAACGCTTATATGCTTCTTCGCCTTCCGCGAAGTCCCCTGTTCACCAGACAAAACCTTGGAACATTCTGCGTTCTAGTGCGCAATGTGATATTTGTGCCAATGCGCTTCTGCAATTAGCAAATGCTAAAGTCATCTCCTGTAAGTTTCAACGTAAAATCGTCACTATACGCAAACAGTGGCTCATGTTAACCTTGCTCTCGCATTTCCCGAAGGCTTTGCAATTTGCGGGATTTGTTCCATTCATCCATCACTGCCTTCACCCGTACAGCTTCTTCGTCATCTTTTTTCTTTTGTTGCAAGATTTCTGGGCCACAGCAGCAAGCAGCGTGTACAATCCAGTAATCAGACAACACCAGACGATCATAAATGACAGGCGTCTTGACTGAACGCGAAGTGTTGCCACGCTGCATTATGTCTGTGGTTTTGAACAAGGACGTTCTTACTCATTCGCTTTGCAGCAGGTTTATCATCTGTAGCAAGGCATCGGAGATAGGCTGGGGCTTCAAGCATCCACTCCTCTCTCTGGAGTACGAAGAAGCAATTACTGCCACACAATATGTCTGACCTCACTTAAGCAACAAAGCAGATTGCTCCGCTGCTGCAATCGCTCCATTTGAAGCAAAGCATCAGCATCTGAATATCATGCCAAAGTCGTCTCTTTTCAAGGGTTTGGGAGACTGTATTTCGCAAACTTACTCTAGGTGCTCCTCCAGCTACCGTTGACTGGTGTGCAAGCTCTTCCTGAGTAGACTCCGTTGGTAAAAGACCTGAATCTTGGGGCTGTTCGCCTCGCCAACGCTGCACAGCTTCCTCGGCCTTGCGTTCCGCCCTCTCTGCATCGAATGCTAGTTCCTTAGCGGGATTTTCTTCACTTTCATGAACTTCGGGCTGTTGAAGTTCGGATGGAAAGCTCGACATGTCCAGCTGTGAGCGCAGCTCCTTGCAGCGGCGCTTTACGAGCTTGGACAGCGAATTTTTATAAGTCAGCGCCTTTCTCCAGCCTTTGCCCTTTTCACCCTCGACCTTGAAAGAGCCACAACGCACTACTAGCATCCTGAAAATTCACAGAAACGCTGCTGTATTGCTGCTACCCTGCACTGTTTTGACTACACTTCATGAGGGCAGCCATGTCCAGTGCGCCTAAAATACGGAGTCAAAGCACCACGCTCCGGACGGTATACATTATTTCTTCGTGTGTGGCGCTTGTAGATTAGAGAATCGCAGTGGGTTCTGTGCGAGGTGAGGTAGCGGGTGACACACCTCGCCAACACATAGGGCTCGGAAAAGGTGACGTAGCTTCTTCCTCAAACGTAGGTCCCCAAGGTCATGCAAATACACAATGCCCCACGAGTCTAGCTGCTCGAATACATCCAACAGCTGAATTCAAACAGGCAGAGACGCCATCGTTTCAATCAATGATCAAAAAATTCCCCGAGCACAACAAAGTACCTGCATCTTCACCCGAGCAAATTCTGTTTACCTCCTTTTCCATTTGAGGGGACAACCGTAGTAAAGAGATAAGAAGGCGATCAGCATCTTCTTTGTCGATCGCGTCCTAGGGTCACAACGCGAACATACCTTTAAGACGCGAAAATGCTCAACAACCCTATACGGCAACTTTCCCCGAACCTACCCTATTGACTTGGCTTATACGTTGTTGTGACGCATTTCTCACTAAAGGCTATAATATCCACCACTCAGAGAAAGGAACAGCATAATACTGCATACCACTTGAGAATGCTCTTCTTCTCGTTTTGTGTGCTTTTCGCGGCTCTTCTTTTTGGATTTTTTCCTCTCCTTTTTTGCCTTTCGTTTTTTACTTCTACTTATGTTCCCCCCCTCAACTTCACTGCTGCTTCCACTCGAATGACCCATCTTGCAAGACCACTTCCCGACAGAAAAGACTCCTCAACCTAGGAAGGCTGGCGCTCCCGTTCAACAGACTATTCCAGTCTTTGCCATACGAGCGCGTAGTTCATGCATTCTTTATGGCCCAAAACTGTTTCACTGCAGCAGCAAGATCATGGAATGAACCCACTAGCGCTGCGTCATGTGGTCCTCTGAAGCCATAATTACGCTTCCTGGCTCTACAACAGGCACGCGTGATCTTCACGCACAACGCCTCTTGAAAGTTGGCAAACTGCGTCAACAGCAGCACCGCAAGCTTACTACGAGATACACCTGGAAGAAATGTGTATACATGGATCAGAATCAGAAAGTTGTGCTGGGCCTGCTGCTGCACGTAAGCGGCGACCGTTGCACGTTATAGCGATTAAGACAATAGCATGCATCTCAGTCATCGAAAGAACAATTAGGCAACAGAAATAATAGAAAAGCAAAACTCAGCTTATGGCAGTCAAAGCTTCTGCACAGCCGCATGCAAGTCGTTCAAGGCCCCAGTGAGTTACAGGCGGAAACGGAGTGAACACAGAATTCAATACCATGCATGCATATTTTTTAGTATCTTAGTAGCTGTGAAGAAGGCCATTTGAAACTGAATGCTGCTGGGGAGTTATGCACTGCCAATAGAGCGAACGCAAACTCATTGGGGGGTGGGACCCGGAGGCGGCGCAGTGAAGATATTTACCTTTCTTGGGAATGCCTGCTGCAAATGCATTAAAGCACATAAATTTGATAGTTTTGCGGTAATCCTCCTAGCATCTGTGACTTCCGAGGATCCCATGGACACTTCGTCCACTGGAGCACGTAAATGGGAACAGAGGCAGCTGTTACCTTAGGCCCAAACACTCGGACTCGGCCACCTATAAAGTCGGTGCACAGGCAAGAAAAAAGAAATTAAGGTCCACAACAACTCCCAGAAAGACTCTAGTTTTGGCTCCGACGTTGGCTGCACCCTCATGTACCCCTCTACTGTTCCCCGCTACCACTTGAAAATTTTCCCGTGTGGAACAGTCTCTCTCCCGTCTTAACGTGTCTTGGGTTTTCGTGTGAAGGAGGTTCCGCCTTCTTAGATCTTCGGAAGATGGAATTGATCAGCTCAAGCCTCGTGATTGACATTGGGGCGTCAAGCACGCGCGTGGGCTACGCAGGCGAAGGAAGCCCGTCACAACTGCTGAACTCATGCATAGGAGTTCGTCAGCTGCGCGGCCCTCAGGAGGGTTTATCAGCAGAAAATCACGGCCGGAGTAACACAACGCGCGAGATTATCTTCCCTCTGAACTTCTCCCAGCGCCGCGATTGTGTGGAGGTGGTGCCTGCGCTCTTTCCCAGCTGGCGCGGGGCTACTGGAAAGCGGAAGATGGACTTTAATCCCGTGTACACCCTGCACGAAGAAGCATTCGAGAATCTTGTAGCTCTCAGTTGCACAGGAGCACGCGCAGCCCGCTTCGGTCGCAGAGGGGACGAAGCTTATCCGAACTGTGTAGACTCCAATGGTTCAACACGCTCCCCTGAGAGTACTTTACGTTTGACGGAGCTATGCGGGATCGGGGCAGACTTGCGAGAGCAGCCGCTGCTCCTTTCCGAGCCAAACATACACAGCAGGGAGGTCAGGGAAAAGATAGCAGAAATACTTTTTGAAAGTTTACAAGTAGGATCTTTGTACACGGCGAAACGCGCACTTTTGGCATGTGTTGCATTGGGGAGAAGCAGCGCTTTGGTCATCGACATGGGGGCTTCTGGCCTATCAATTGCTCCCGTTTCAGACTCTTTCGTACTAGACCAACATGTTACGGAGTGGCCAGTAGGCGGCGATGCAATGAGTCAGCTTCTCAGCGCAGTTCTCGTGGGGCACAATTTTCCCGTGCACCCTAGCTTTGCGCGATTTTCGGCACAGAGCAGAATGGTGAAGGTTTCACTAGACAAACCTGGGGACTGGGATAACGTTCATCCTTCGTACATGCACTGGAGGTGAGCGAAGCGGCATGTAAGGGGCTCTACTAGGATTGCAGCGCTGTTGCGGAGCTTCTTACTGTGGAGATCTTTTTTTGAAAATGAAGATAAAGGAAAAAGGAGGAAAACTTATACTGGTTGATATTGCAAAATCGTCAGAAGAGATGAGATTAGCGGTGAAATGCTTATCGAATTCGGAGCTAGCTGTTCTCCTCGAAATGCGTTAAGGCGTACTTTATTTTAAAAATTATAATTAACTTCTAATTTAAATATTAATAGTATAATTAATTCCAATATTTTTAAAATATTCATCATTTTTTTAGTTTATCTTTTAAATTGAACACGCACTGTACTATAATGTACTATTAATGGAATTTAAAATACAAATGATTCATTATATTCATGTTAGGATTTTCCCTAATAGTAATAACATAATATGAGCTAGCTAGACTGCTCTACTCCGTTTGTGTTTATTTAAACAAAGTCAATAAAGCCAGGAAGGAATTGAACCCACACTATTGTGGTCCGTAGCCACATGCTCTTCCATAAAGCGTATGTAGGTGGTTTTAATATATTTTTATACGGAAAACTTGATATTTGTTTTTAGTTTAAAAAAACTATTAAACTAGAGTCTGTTAGGCGTAAAAGGAATTTTTTGAGGAGTAGTGAAATGCGAAGATGTGAGACTTCGGTTGCTGTATGGTCCACTCTGTGACTTGTCTACTCATCGCCCTTGTAGCACATTTACTGGTTGGTCACGACACGTGCGAAACACTGGAAGTGGGAGCGCCGGGGTTTTCAGAGAATTGCTGCATTTTTTTGTTTTATTGCTGAACTACAGTACTTTTGACGCTGACGTGGTTCGTTGAGTCGTCCTGTTTGTTTGCTGTACAGCCGCATGCAGACTCTTTCGTTCCTAAAGGAAGGCTTGTGCCGCGTAGCGGATGACCCAAGGGATGTGGCCCTAGCTCAAAAACCTATCGCACTTCCAAGCCCTCAACAACAAACCAAAAGACGTGGAGTTGCAACATCAGAGGCTTCCGGGTCGTCTCAGCTTATATTCCCGTGCTCAACAGGGGCCTCTGCCGCGGCGCTGCTCTCCGGTGGTAGCGGAGTTGAAGGAGGGGTCATGGAGCTGCCTGATGGCACACGCCTTGAGGCGGAACAACTTGCAACGAAGGCAAGATATGATCGTAGTTCAACTGATATCACCTGCGGCACACGACTCTCAACTTAAAGTATCCATTTGGATCAAGGAATCGTCCAGCCTACTTTCCTTTGTTGGGAATGATAAGCTACGGAGCGTTGTAGTCAGTTTGTAGACAGCCTTTTTGTGGCTTCATGCTATCTTTTGTAGTAGCCAGAACTCTGCTGAGCTGTGCAACGTTGCAGCTCCCAGAGATACTGTTCTGCCCTGCACTTGTATCGTCGGTTCCTGGCGGTGGCGGTGGCTTTCCAGGGCTGCCTGATGCAGTGCGACAAGTGGCAGAGGCGGTTGAGACTGATGGTAATCGCGACATCCTTAGCGCTTTAATTCTCACAGGCGGCTGCTCTTGCATACCTGGTAAGTAATCGCTCTTACCTGTATGTGAAAACTGATTTCCTCCTTTTCTTGCCTTTGGATGGAAAGGACTGTGGGCACTCCGGACGCGTTCTACATCGTATCTACGTGTCACATGCTGTTGTCTCACAGATGTTAAAACAGGACACGTCAAAACGCTGTTTCACTGTTCGCCTGTGTGCATGTAGGAATGGTCGAAAGGGTCAACCGCGAGCTGGTAGAAGATCCAGCAATATGTGGGGGACAGAAAGTCCGTCTACTGGCGGTTCCTGGGTCGTCAGAGCGCCGGTATTCAACTTGGGTCGGCGGGTCGATTCTTTCAAGTCTCAGCTCCTTTCAGGCGGCGTGGTGTAGTCGTGAAGAATACGAAGAACATGGCCCCGCCGTTGTCCAGCGAAAGTGCTACTGATGTGTATGAGGTGGATGTAAATCCCCCATGGACTCTACAGCTGTTGCAGTTTTATGCAAGTTTGAGGGCTTTTGTTTTGGCAGTTCACATACAGCGATGGCTCATGCGGTATGCGCCGCGGGGATTCAACGACGCTGAGCCGTTCTTTAGTGGCAGATGTTCCGCAGCTGCGCAAATGGTGAGGGGCATGTTCACTTTTCGAGGCGCAGGACGCCTTGGATTCGCGAGATGCAAGCTGTGGAATTTTGCAGGTTTCCTGGGACTACAGTGCAGATGACCGGCCTTGATTGCATTGCGCAGAGAGGGTGTCGTAGTAAGAATGGGATCTGTTGGCGCTTATTTCTAAGCAAAAGAGATGCGTACCTGTAGTGAACAGCAGCCGGCCCCACTACAGCCCTTTCTTCCTCTCGCTGTGGTGGCTGTTAAGCGCCAACTCTGACACTTGCAGAGAGACAGGTGCTGGGCAGCGGAGGTATACTTCTGATTGCTTCGGTTGATTTCTCTGCGCTGTGGCTCGGCAGGGCCTCTTGTTATCTCACTACGCTCCATTGTATTCTTGCGCATGCCGTGACACGTTTGCAGCTGCAACAGAAGGCCTGCAGAGGTGGGGCCCAGGCTGGATCCGCCTCGACTTAAATATCCCCTTCACCACTGCAGAATGCATATTCTTAAGAAGCAATAGTTTATAAGTTTAGTCATGTGGAACGACCAGGAATTTAGTTGGGCTGCGATGCCGACAAAGCGCATGCAGCTGAGAATCCAGCGCGCAGCTTACAGTATTGGAGAGGCGCACTGTTGCGGAGTCGGTGTTTCTCATTGTTATTACTTATATTCAAGACGATTCGTTCTGAGCTGTCCCATTCTTAATTTACGACATGGCTCAGTTCTGTTCTATTCTGATACGCCGTGAAAGAGTGCTTGTGGGTGGCCTTGCATTGTACAAGCAGGTAGTCCATTGCAGTTCGCACCTCTGTCCTTTTCCTGTCCTATTCTACAGCCTGTGCACGTTGGCATGACAACTGCGCCCATAATGCACAGGTAACAGCGCTCTGCGACAGGTCATCTATCGGGTTGGGCACCAGATCACGCCTATAGCAACCGCCCGCATAAGGCACTTTGTAGTAAACAACAACGTCCACTTCTCTGTGGAACCAATGTACTTTCCACGCATATCAAGGGCATCAACGCACAATGCCGTATACTGGAAGTCCGCAACTTGCCGCAACTTGCCGTATCTGTTCTTTCAGTGGAAGGGTACCAACATAGACTGCTATGGCAGCGCCCTTAGCTTGACACGAGAGACAAGCTTTACTCGCACTCTCTGTATAAACTCGTCGTAGCCATACGTAATGTGTTCGTTACTGGCATGGCACGAATCGCACCATATTTATTGGCGAGCTCGATGAGTTGTCCTTACCGCGGTTTACTCTTCTTTGTCCTTATCACGGTTTACTCTTCTTCAACCCTGCGACTCAACATGCAGTAGTGACAGGTCCACACAGATGAAAGTATAATAATAACAGCTTTATTCTTCGGTGGCGGTTCTCATAGGCTCCCAAGCATGGGCCTCAACGTGTTCCCCTCAACTCGTCGTCGCCGTTTTTTCGGCAGAACAGCCTCCAGCATGGCAGCAGCCTCGCATCCATTCACGGGCTGTGAATACTTTCACTCTCTACTCGTTAAGCGTCTATTTTGAACTACTTACTGTTGATACTTAACGAAAAAGAAGACCATGATGATTCCTGGCGACAATCTTGGTGCCTTCCAGGGAAAGCTGCCGTTTAACCCGTTGATAAAGTATTGTAATGTCTCAAATAAAGCCAAAAGCTTCAAAAAAAAAGAATTGACTCTGCAGTTCTCTCTTTGAAGCCACGTGGGAATACTTTCCCTGAGGCCAGACACATGTCCTCGCGCCGTCCCAACACATGAACTCCTTTTTTCTTGGGTACTATGCGATGGCTCGAATCAACGAGCTATTAGTGAGGTTAGTTTCGCTTAAGTGAAGTTTTTGCAGCCAAGGTTTCGTCTCCGTATCACACCTTCTGATGTGAGCTGACTGCGGTGCTCACCGGCACGCTTACCTGTCACGCGCTTGACATGCGTTCGACGGTACTCTCGATTATTTATGCTGGCGATCTTGAATATACTCATTGCTTAAACTCCACAGTGTACCATAGTATGGTTACTTTCAGTGGTTTACCCGCGTAACTGATGGAGCGAAGACCGTTTGACGGCGCAAAGTTGCCTACTACACTCAATGGTCCCGTCGCCACTGTTGAGATACGAAGAACTTCCTACAGACGAAACTTCATAGAAGGGACAAATCCTGACATTGCAGCTGTGCCGATGTGCTAGCTGTGGGTTAGGCGTTCATACTACTGCACTGCCTGGGCTGCAAATAATTTATATGTGCTTCTGTGTTCCATTGCCTAGCCTGCAAGAGGCGGGCAAGAAGGGTATTGAGCCCCGCCGCTTCCAGTTGTTAGCTGTACAACATCAAGATCAAAGGGAGTGCGGAGGGAATTTAGTACATCTCTTGTTGTTCGTGCTGTGCTAGGAGGAGTTGTATGCACGGACGTTGGGCCAAATGCTAACGTCTTCCTCTTAAGTGTAGGGCGCATTCCAAGCATTTCTGATTGCAGTTCTACAGGATGAATGACCAGCCTTCAGCTGATTCTTCAAGAAGCGCCGAACTGTTGCTGGGCGCTAATGGGACGGGTGGTAAGGAAGTTTATGAGTATACGCCGGATCCGGGTTCTGTAGTATTACATGCAGGCTCGTCCAACGACGGTTTCGATAGAGGTAAGGAATTTAGCTCCCGACTCACGGACTTTTTAGCCCACATCGACAGATGTCGTCTGGCTTACTGGATCAGTGCAGCTTTCCCGCATATACAGGAAAAGAACAAATGCCCGCGATCTTTCTGTGCCGCTTTCGCTGTTATCTGCTTCCTGAGAAGAGTTACCGTCTCTCAGACCACTGCAAATTTCATCAAAATGCAGTTAGCGGCCAGTGTAGCAGAGCCTTACATCCACTTTCTTGGTACAATTTTCAGTGGTCCGGGAAACGGAAACTCTTCTTTCTAGCTCTCTCTGTTTGCAGACGCTTATCGACTGACGCGAGGTGCCAAGGAAATTGATGACACAGAAGTTAGCCCAGCGACTGCATACGAATTTTTCAGAGGTAAACGGTGCCTTTATTGCTTTTGACCATGAATCCATGGCCAGCCACTGCGAGGCGACACAATTTCATGCGATTGAACGCCAGGTGTACTGATCCATTAACTGACACTTTCGTGAAACAAGAGGAACCGTCAGCAGAAGCGTGCCTGTATATTGACGGTAGGACATGCTTTTTTCCGCTTCAGGGAAGACGTACAAGAGCACCATATTTCGAAATGGCTTTGCGGCGCGTAGGGGTTGGGGGGCTTCGGACTCGGGCACTTTGGAAGTTAGAGGGCAACGGACGCTGTGCAACGCCCTGAAGTGCGGCCGGATAAGCGAATCTGAATCTGTGAGTAATGGAAACATTTTCTTCTTCTTCTCTTGCTGTCGAGGCACTCGCTGTGGAACTGGCGTTCCTCAACCTACTCACGTTCATTTCTTTGTTTTCTGGTAGAGGGTGTGCCGCAGTGTCCCTTTTAGGGTGGTGTAAAACCGAAGGCAGTGTTTCTTTTTCAGCTTGTTTTTTGTTTCCCGCAACCTGTAGAGGAGTTTCCGTGGGGACGTCTCAGCCAGAGCTGCAGTTGTGCGCGTACAAACTGTATGCACACGAGGGGACAGTGCATTAGTTCTTGTGTAACGATTCGAGGATAATTGCTGTCGAGCGTAATGGCAATCGTGCGCTGTTTCATGCGTCGGGTTTAACTTATGATTTGTCCAGATGTCTTCGTCTGTATCCGAGTTTCCGGATGGCTCTTCCTTCGAAACTCCAATAGGGAGGCTTAAGCGCCTACAGGGTGAGGTGGAGGATATGCTGGATTTTGTGTCGTCTTTTCTTGTCGAGGAGAGGGTGCCAATCTCCGAACAATCAGAAGCAGAATCTGCATCCAGCCAGAGGGTGCCGACTCCAGGAGAGCCGAAAGACGAATCAGAACACTCGAAGCATTTGGGAACCCTGCAAGTGCATTACCAGGCACGTCGCCTCCCACCCGCCGCGCAGGAGGCGCTCTTTTTTGGACGTGATCCTCTAGCGCTCATTGAAGAGCTAAAGAAGCTACGCATGCAGGTATGCCCCTCCCAGATCGGACGTGCCAGGGAGCATGAAATCTTCCACTCCTCAGGAGTAGCCAGTTACCCCTATCTGGGTCTTCCTCCTAATCTTTAATGGCTTTGTCCGCAAAACGAATGGCATCTATTGGACCCATCCTGTGCTCTGGGCCCGCATATACCATTTTCACTCTCCCACGGGCCTGCCGTCAGTTCATGTTATACATGGCGATACACCACAGTGAACCTAAAAAGCTCGTTTTTGGTAGCTGTGCCTTGTCTTTCAAACGCTGTTCCCCCAAAAGTATTACTTCACATCTAATATTTTTGCTCCAAATAGATGTACAACTTAGCCCAAGTTTCCATGTTCTGGTTGTTCACTGATGCACCCTAAGGTATCGAGCATTCTCAGCGACAAAAGGACGGAGGCGCTAGTATCGCACATTGAGCCTGTAAGCGGCATGCGTTCTGGAGCAGCGCTTTTGCAGCAGCATCTTTCTGCTGCTTCAGCTCACCTGCAACAGACGCTGGACAACGAAGCACGAGGGACATCAACTCTCCCCAGTAGCATTCCACGTAAGTCACGCACAGCACTCGTTGACGACTGAGCCAATCTAGTTTACTTTCCACAGCTAGAGCTCGAAAGCTCCTGTGTAGTAGAGGATGTCACGGCTGCAGCGGCTGCGGTGACGGACTCACACAAGGAAGCATCTGGCGCCGGCGCTGACGACGGAGCGAAGGGATCCCTCACTACCGCTTACGAAGTGTACTGCGTGCCGTCATTGTCTCCCATGATGGAGCAGAGCCGCATTACGACCCTAGAAAGACGCCTGGCTCTTGTAGAGAACAAGATTGGCCTCCATAAGATGAGTCTGCTTCCACATGCAGATCTGTTTGAAGCAGTTAATGAAATGCAGCAGCGCATCAAGCTGCTGGACAACCAGAAGATTGAGAGCCTACAGAAACGAGTTCAGGTGTGGAGAAGTGGAATCACAGGACCAGGAAGCTCACAACCGCAGTTGCAGGGAGATCCAAGGGCATGCCGGGGACGGTGGATATACAGTGGAATTTCAGTTATGTGAAGTAGCCAGAGTAGGACGCACTCAAAATTGCAGTTTTCAGGAAAAACTGCATGGAGTTTTGTGGCTGGACTGCGTTCAGGGATTGCTGCTAGAGTTGCACGCGCTGCAACAGAGACGCCACGAACTGGACATGGCTGCGGAGGGTGTCTCGGCAGTCTCCACCAGCGCAGCTTTACCAGCGGGGGAGGAGCCTGGAAAGGGGCTTCCTAGGAGCCATTCACCTTCCAGCGACTGGCAGCGAGTTGAAGAACTGTATGACATATGCGAAAGGTTTAAAGCTCCGGCAGCAGTGCTTCCGTCCGTGTTACAAAGGCTGAAGTTGCTCAAGGGGATTCATCAAGAAGCAGGCGGCGTCGCTGTTCGTCTTTCCGGTAACTTTGCACTTATCTTCTGCACCTCCTCCGTGCTTTCTACTAGAGAGAAACGATGGAGCATATTCCACAAAAACGTGGCATTGCCGTACAACCAATAGCTGGTCTGGCTGCGTTCCTTGTGCAGTGTTGGAGAAGCAGCAGGAGGAACTGCAAACCTGGGTGAGGAAAGCAGACGAGGCGGTTAACCAGCTGCAGAAAACAGTCTTAGAGAGCATAAGCTGGGCTCAGAGGACAGTGGCGCAGATGCAGCAGCGACTTGCTGCTGCGGAGTCGTCGACAACTGAAACCGTTTGAGACGAGCTGGATGCAGCCCACGCATTAATTGCACTTGGCAAGTTTCCAAGCAGTGTGCTGGTGGGCCTACTTTGAAGGACTTGTTCATCAATGGAACTGAAGCTTCAGTGTACTGGGCTGCTGGGCGTTGCCATCTTCACTAGCTACTAATTGGGTGCTGTATACGTTCGCCCACGTGATATGCTGACTCAGTGATACGCTGATTCAGCGCATGTACACATGGGCTGAAACGTGTCATAGACCCATACAGCCATCTTTTAGCTAGCAGAGAGGCAAGTAAACAGGCTTTCACAGGAGCGAAAGGTTGGTCTAGGTATGAGCAGACGCGAGCAAAAGGGCATATGGCTGCCCGCTGACGGCGATGCGACACCCAGTGGTCTCAGTCTCAGCGTAGAGTAGGAAGAATGCTCCCGTCTTGAGAACTTGAGGTGGGCCATGCAGACAATGTGGCCACTGTAAACCCAAAATCCCGGAAAGCAGGCTCGCAGTGGCAGGCTGTTCGAGCTGTTAGTACACGGTGACCATTAGGCTGAAACAGTACGATTCATGACTTACGAAATGGCTGACGCGATAGCTGAAGGCGGACCTCTGGCCCCACCTGTTCCCCTTCCCACAAATGAATCTTCTTGCGGTGTTACACAGCCTCGCTCGACCGCATTCACGTGGTAGGCGATGACTCTAGCTTCTGTTTGGGCGGAATACCTGTACTGTAGCAGTAGGCACTTGCCTGCGCAGTTAAGGCGTCTGGCCTTGCGCACAAAATCTATTGAGTGACTCTTTCCGAGCACGCGCCCCTCTAAGGTCAGCTCTAGGGCCACCTCTAGGTCCAATGGGTCTTCAGGGGACCCTGTTACGTCACTAACGCCTTCTTTGTACGCATCTCCAAGCACTGGAAGACGGTCGATATTAGATAGAATTCCCGTAGGACCCTTTGTGAACAGTAGAGGCTGCAGCTGCAAGGCAAGATACCTCAGAACAAGCTGGATCGACATCCGGCTCGGCACGCGCAAGTAAGGGCGATCAATTAGCGGCAGTTTCAGTGGAAGCGGCAAGCCATGGGCATCCTGACGACGGCTTTCGCCCATTAGTGCACCTTCCCCTGAGCACTGGCAGGACTGTGATGCTTGGTGCTGCACGCGCACTTCCATCAATTGGCCCTGATAAGTGTCTGGTAAGAGCGCAATGGCTGTTGTCTGCTGGTCGTCAAAGAATGCAGGCGACCCTAACAGCTGGTCTACAAATTCGTCTAGCGACTGCTGCTGCTGCTGCAGTTTCTGCTGTTCACCTCTCCTGCTGCTGCTGCGCAGTCCCTCTCGCTCCTTCTGTACTACACCGCGTTGGTCCTTCTGTATTAAGCTTCGTGGCGCGTCGATGTTTTTTTGCTGTTGCTGATAGTGCAACGCTTGCTGATGCTCGTGTTTCGATTCCAGTGGCATTGAGGATTTGAGGTGCAGGTAGCCGAGTGCCTCTTCTGCTGCAGCTCTAGCTTCGAGACGAGCTCTCCTGTGTGACACGGCCTCTCGCCTGAATGGTCCCAGTGTGAGACAGCCTGTGAGGTATTCAGGAGGCAGCTGCTTATGTTGGTGCAGCTGCATATACCGCTGCAGCTCCTCCTCTTCCAGCCGCTCCTGATATGCAAAATGAGGAAAGAGCTTGTCGACAACGTTTTGCATTGTGCGATCAAACAAAACTGCCGCGTTTGCTGCTGGCGCTGACGCTGTGGCGCCGCTGCTATTACTGCCGCCTAACACGCCCCCAGCACCGGCAACGCAAGCTGCTGTCACGCGAGGCATGTAGTGTCTGCAGTCTTTGCCTGCTCCTAGACAAATAACATATTGCACAGCAACAAAGTACCGAAGACTTCAAGCCCGTAACACTACACCATGTAAGCAGTGCACCTCCGTAGTGAGCAACCAAGTGGTCTTTCTGCGTGGCCTCACCATCTCTGTGCGGAGTCAAAAGCTGCATATTTCTTTCGCAGTAAGGGCAGCAGACCTCCTCTGTCTCTCCCCTGTCCACGTAGTCATACAAACACCAACGACAAAAGGTATGTAAGCATTCCTTGATGGTGACAGCATCTCTGAAGTAGCCGCTGCAGAGGGAACAGCGGAAGTTCTTCTCTATTGCCTTCAAGGGAAAGGAAACATCAAGTCCTTCATCCCCTTCAAACGTTACACACTGCTCGCTGTCGCTGTCTTCCTCCGACTCGACAGCTGGAAGCGTAGGAGTTCTCTGAACGCTCACAGCCCTCGTCCGCTTGGGGCGACGGGAGGCATCAGTGGCGAAGGGCGTAGTCGTAGGCGTCTCCGGAAGAAGCGCAGGATTGGATGCTTCAGGAGCTCCAGAAGTTCGCGAGGGCCGCGGCGAGCGCTGCATCGGGTAGATCCCTTAGCGCACGATGCTGCGAACCTCACTTAGCGCTTCCGCCTCAATGCCAGGGAAAAGCTTTCGCGGAAATCAGGGACCAGAAGTAATTTGTCCTCTGGCGCACTATTGGTAGCGCTGCAACGGGACCTGGAAGCTAAGGCAAAAGGCCATTTGATATGCTGAAGAGAAGCAATATGCTCCTAATGTACCAATATCCTACAAAGAAAACAGTACGAACGAGTTCTGTTTCAAACGAGGCACGGGGAAAAGGAGAGAGTTCACGTAGGTGTTCATGTCACCGGCTACAGTCTTCAGTAGACCTTGCATCATAATTGGTCCCACAACTTGCCCCACGAACTAGATTTCGAATAGTATTTTTTGATTTAGAAGAACGCAATATTGGCTTGCTACGCTTTTCAGCCAACCACAATCTTTTGGGGCTGTGTCAGCATACCTTAAGGGCCCCCTCTCAGGGCCCCAGGTCCTTCTGTCTGTGACTACCCTTATGGAGAAACACTTGATCAAATGACTATACAGAGACCTCTTCAACGAAGCTGCACATGGGAGACTTCCGCTTCCTTTTGCTCCATTAGAAGCTACAAATGTTCTCGCCTGCCCTACTAACTTTCTTGGTGTGCCCAGAGAAAACCTGAGAGAAAGATGTTGCTTTCCAGTTGTAGATCCACCTAAGTTGCAGAGTTTCTGCTTTCATTTGTTCGGATCTCAGGATTTGCTGAGCCCATCTTCTTGCTCAGGCTCTTACGGCACGGCATCGTCGAGAAAACCGCTTTTGTGGCCACCGGCCTCCAATGTTGTTTTGGGCATCCTCTTCTCTGCTCACTTGATGTTATCTCTTCGTTGAAAGGCCTTTCGGGCCCATCTGCGGCTCTCTGTGTGTGAAGCCTCCTCTTTAGGCCATTTCGGAACTATTTCCTTTTATCGTTGTTGTGCGCATGTCTTTCGACAACTACTGAGCCGCTAAAAGTTTCGTTGAACGAATTTGAATATGAATTCGACACCGCCGGTGAAGGGCCCGTCTCAACAGCAGCAGCAGCAGATGCTGCTGTTGCAGCAACGGCAACAATCAGCACAGCAGCAAATGGGACAGCAGGTGCTGCAGCAAGCGATGACGCAGCAGCAGCATACAGTGCTTTCACCTCAAGGTCAACACGTGCCATTACAACAATCCGTGCTCCAACATCCCCAGCAACTGCTTGCTCAGCAGCAGCAGCAGCAACCTCAGTTGCAGCAACAGCTGCAGCAACACATGCTGCAGCAGCAGCAGCAAGCACGTTTGAGCTCTCTTCATGGAATTTCTCCTCATTCCTTCTCACTTCCTTCACAGCCTATGCCGATGCAGCATCTGCAGCAGCAGCAGTATATACAACGCCCACCTATACAGCAGCAACTAACGCAGCAGCCATCAATGCAGTTGCAGCAGCATCTGCAGCACCAGCAGCAGCTCCAATTACAGCAACAGCACACGCTGCCAAGCTCGCAGCGCCATTTCCTGCAAAAGCAGCAGCAGCTCTATGCCGGGCAGCAACAGCTCAGTCACCACCAGCAACAAGGGTCACTGCAGCAGCCACCACAGCTGACCCATCAGCAGTTGCAATCGCAGCAATTGCAGCAGCAGCAGTTGCAGCATCTGCACGGACAGAATCCGTTGCTGCAGCAACAACATGCGCAGCACACGGACACAGCTTCTCTGCCACACATGGGAACCCCTAAAAGTACCGGCATCAACAGCACCGCAGCCGGTCCTGGCCTGATGGGTGCTCAGCCTCTATCTCAACGTCCATTCCCCGGGCGGGTGAACCCCCATGGGATACCAAAGAGCGCCCCCTCACCATCAACTATCATTCTTGCAGCGGCCCCTATGGAGGCAGTGCAGATTGCTGCGCGTCCTGGTAGTTCCTCGACTGTTGCCGACCTTGTCAGGGAGGTCATGGAAGCGGCAGAGACAGCAGACCAGGAGGCTGACTTGCACGGGGCAGCACGGGCGACAGACGAAGGTTTTTCTGTCCACGACCTTCTAGATTTCACTGAAGACGGTAGGGCAAAGATATAGTCAGAATGTTATGAGTGTCTACGGTCAACCACACAGGGCTTAATGTGAGCGCTTGAGGGCTCGACGCGAGCTGTGTGGCATAGCGGCAGTGTTGGCATGGGGAGCCTAGAGACTTTCACCGCAGCATACTGGGCATGGAAGGAGGCACATGTCTTTTTTCCGGTTGCAAAGTTTATGCGGCCCATGGCTCGCGCGGAGTCCTCCCTATTCTTGTGCACGCTGCCGGCGTGGCTGGCCCTTTGTCTTCATGTTTTCAGTTGCAGCCATCATGGAGGCATTTTTAAGTCCAGATATGGCGGTGGCGGCAGAGGCACTGGAGTTGACAGTTCAGCTAGCTCTGGACTTTGTCGATGACCTCGTAAGACTGGTAGTAATCAATAGCCACTGCGAGCGTTTTTAGTTTCATTGAGAGGTTTAGAAGTCTCTACAGCAGTACATGCACAATCTTAGTGCCCTTGTATTTGTTTATAAACAATACAAATGTCTACTCAAGCATGTGGATTGTACGCGCTTCCAGTTGAAGGATTCAGAGACTCGCACTTGTGGCTGTGGTACTGCAACCCTACTGAGGCAGGAAGAAAGGGCACGAGCTTTCAGACTTTCATTGTGTGTTTGAACTATGTGTTTGGTGTATGGTCCGCCAAATTCTGGTTGCATTGACAGGTGGAGAAAGGCGTAGAACATCGACGACAGCAGCAAGAGGGGATGCGGCGGCCACGGGGATCCCGCCTTTCTCAGCCTCAGCTTTTAGCGGAAGACCTCTTAGTTGGCCTTCGATCCAATCCACGAAAAGCTCTAAGGTGCAGAGAGGCACTGGAGAATTACAGGCAATTGGAGGCATTGAAGCTTGCGTTCCCAGAGGATAGATATTTATCTGCACCAACCCAAGGACACGACGTGGTGCCTGTTTCGCCCCAAGGCGGCAACACCGCTTCGGGGCAGCAGCCTTCAGCGCTAAACCCGCCTCCTGTGCAGACGACATCCCAGGATGCGCCGATGGTTGATCCTTCCCACGGGCATATCTCGCCACTCGATCCCTTAGTAGCGAGGCAGAGGCCAGTTGCATCTCCGCATACAGAGGACTGTCAAAGTTTGACACCACAATCAACGCTACGAGCGCAGCAGCATGATGCCGGATTCGGCAGCCGCCCGGCCTTCACTCCTTCATCCCCAAATATTTTGCCTCTAAGCACATGATGCTTTTAAGTACAGGAGTGAGGCGCTTCGAGAAGTTGCAGAGGCTGTTGCCTGCTACAAGCATGCAGGCACCGTTGTTTTTCTTACTTAGTTCTGTTTTTGAGCTCACCGGAAGTAAAGTCATGACACTCTTCATGTAACAGACTTTTGGCCGCAGCACTGCATCGGCAAACCCCAGGCGTCGTCGCCTGTCTCGTGAGGACACGCTTCAGCGTAGCGGTGCATTTCCCTTAGAACAGTTGTTCACCGCCAGCAACACCGCGGCACTGTTGGCAGTCCGCAGATTGTTGACGCTGCCCCGCATCAGCTGCGCCTTAAAAGCACGCTTTTCTGTTCATGCAAGCTGCACTGGGGCGTATGCAATGCAAGACTTCCCACTGTGGGATTGGGGGCACATGGGAAAGTCGTTTTTCAAACATTGTGGTCAGGGGTTGAAAGAGCTGATCAATGCTGCGCAGAAGTGAGCATGAACAGGAGCCCAGAGATAGGTTCTCTGAGAGCAAATGCAACACCCACGAGTCCACCTGCCTGACACGTCCGCGGCCCAGTTTCAGTTAAACAACTTCACAAACAACCTTACAAGCAACGGGCAGATGAGATTGTATGTAGGAAGCAACGTGCACCGTACACACAGAGGCTTGCAGGAAAATCTCCAGAAGGTTCCACACATTCTTCCGTATAAAACATTGTTACTTGGAAGTCTCTGAGGATGTTCTCCCCGTGCCGATTTAGCTCAGTCGGTAGAGCGCCAGCCTTTTAAGCTGGTGGTCGCGGGTTCGAGCCCCGTAGTCGGCTCTTGACTACGTACCGCTTTTGGAATTTGGCTTCCTCACCCGTAGTAACATGAAGGTACATAGTGACTTGGTTTTGCTTGTATAATGGTGTACCGTCCTTGACTGTTGAACCTGAAAGAACGATTGCGCGGAGACTCTTTCGACATTGCGCGTTGCATTAGAAGGCTTAGACGCCACTGCAACTTCGCGGGCAGATTCCTGAGTGAGTCAAAAACACAGATTTTGCTACAGGAGAAAATCTACACCTTACTCTCAGGACGCTGAGTTTGTTTGCTTGCGCGATGGCGTGTAATACATATCGGGCTTTCTGTCCGGTCGGCAGCTGCACTACTAAGCAGTTTAGGGGTCTCTGTGCTTGTTACGCAATGCGCATATAGGGCGAAATGCCGATTCTCTATCAGAATTGAAAAGACATGGATGCATTTCGGTCGCTGCGTGACAGTACTGCAAGAGTACGCAGTTATCGTCTGCCTGTGATCGGCGGCAAAATGAGCAAGTATGAGATGGTTTCTCTTATGCACTCTGGCATACAGCCCAATAACTCACAGCAAATACGCAGCCCAACCGGAATAATCAGTGTGACTTTGATTTCATTATTAGCAAGACAACACACATTGGGACCAGTCCTGTTCACGCAGTTCTACCCTGTTGCAGATAACTGACCTGAACATTTCATAAGGCATCAATATGATCACATGAAGTTTATTGTACCGTGATTCTCAGCTATTGTCTTGAAAGGTTACTGAAAGAATAATTGCCCGTGACAGAACAGTGGACATCACAGCCGATTTAGCTCAGTCGGTAGAGCGCCAGCCTTTTAAGCTGGTGGTCGCGGGTTCGAGCCCCGTAGTCGGCTCTTTTCACCCTCGTTTGTTATTTTTGATGATGCTTATCACCGAGAAGACTCAATTTGGTATGCTGATGAGAGCCTTTTGTCTTGCAACATAACAGAAAGCTGTATTAGCTTCTGTTCTTCTTTCTTCTACTGGCATTACTCGAAATCAGTTGCGGTGCCCTAAAGGGGTGTAACAAGAGCTCCAGAACATTTTTTTCCGAACCGCTTCGTCTTCATAATTAGGGAAAAGGTGCGAATCTGGCAATCTTTCTCCGGTTTCTAGATTCATAGGTTCTTCCTGGCGCAGAATTTCTTATTGACCTGAATCTTTCAAGACGCAGGCAATGCACACAGGTGGAGGTGATAACCGGCAAGAAGGCTGAACTATGTTGCGTAAGGGAAACCAGGGGAAAAGTTCGGAGCCTATTCTCTCGGACTTACAGCTAACGGGTGCGGTGAACAGGAGTGGATCTCTCGAGAGCCAGGACACGGGAGCCGAGCCACCAGAAGGCGAGGCAAGGGCGATCCACTGTGACGAAGCAGAATATCTGCAATTCTCTGGAAGTACATCACCACTGCGAGTCGAACAGCAGCATTTCGGCGGCTATTCCTCCTCGTCGTCATTTGCATGTGAAGCGGAGGCAGTTTCTGAGCGCTGTCTGCAAGTAATATTAGAGCATGAGGAGGAGGCAGCTTCTTTATCCCCCGCCATTCTATTGCAGAGACTCAAAGAGGTCCAAAGTGGCCGCCAAGGGGACGCATTATATCCAGATGATTACGCTCCAGCTGACTGCCCTCATGTAGGTCAGACTTCGACAACAAATGAAGGGCCACAAACCAGCCAGCCAGTGGATGGCGTGGCTTTTGATGTCGACAAAACCACATTCCGTCACAAGCCACACGTGGAGAGTGAACGAAACAGAGCAGAGACCCAGCAAGATTCGCAAGTGCAGGAACAGGTCAGTGCTCCAATAGCGCCTGCGTCGGCACTGTATCTAAGTGGCTATGCCGAACCTGTATGCCGGGGCTTGTGCACCAAAGCGCTGGCTCAGTTTCATTCAGCAAGCACAAGCCGGAGGACTTGGAAAGCATGGAGCCGTCTTTGTGCTGTGGCGTGCTCCTCTGCAGGATATAGCTCTATATGCGACGCGTACCACAGCTATTCTGTTGCTTTCTGGGCCATCGCCAGTTCGACTTGATGACTTGAGACGGTGTTGGATGGCCTCTCCTATGCTTCTTCGCAAGAGAAACCTCACAGCACTTATCCTTAGTGAGCAGTCCACCTCTTATGTTGCTCACGGAATGTATTTATATCCACCCATTGGCCCAGGGCCCTCTTCACAGACTGGTTGAATGCATTGCAATTCTATAGATTTTAGGGAAAATGCTGGCTGCCGGCATATTGCAGGTCGACTAAATCGCCACAGCATAACTGAAGAAAATGTGCATAAACTCGGGACGAGCATCCAAAACTACGTACACACAGCCGCATACATGTTTCTGTTGCTTCTGTGGCCTGAAGAACTTGCAACGATTGTACAAAGCAAAGTACGGAGCGGTATGGCGTGAGAGCCTCTGGGCTGGTCGTTTGCTTGCTACGCAGATCGCACGGCAGGAATAGCTGCATCGTGTTTCGGCCTTCACCTCCTGTCCTTTCTAACCAAAGGTGAACACAACTTTTTCATTTCCACCTCTACGAAGACAGGTCGGTGCTATCTGTTCATCCGACGTAGTTGAGCAGTACTTCGTATGTTTTCTTTCCGGCATTCTTGCGAACAGGGGTCAAATACGTCGTTTTTCGTCAAGACCTTAATCTTACTCCTCATCTTCGGTGTATCCGTTCCACGCGTAAGCCTTTAGCTACGCAAAGCACATAGTTCAACTTGATTCTGGATGTGCCTCACGACCGCACAGCATTTTGTCAAGTGGTTCAGTGCCTATCATGCGGGTAGTTGCCGTAGTTGCCGTAAGGTGTCTCGTATGCCAGCAGTACACAAGGATAGGATCACTGAGACACTAGCTGCGTACAGTGGGTGTGGAAAGCAGTCTCTGGTGGAGGCTAGCTCCGCGTACAGAAAGGAGGGGCAGAGTATGGACGTAAACGCACAGCAGAACAACACTTTTTGTCCTCATTGCAATTGTTTTGCGTTTAACGGAGTCAGGCAGCGTCTGAAGGTAGTTATGTTGTAGCTGCCGAGTAACTCTCGAAGTGTGACAACGCTGTCTTGCAGCAGTGCTTATGCTTAATGGCGCAGTCGTGCTGCAGCAGAAAAGGCGTCCAGCGATCAACTGCAGAAATAGTACTCCTTTCGTTGTGTTTGCGTAATAGGTATATTTCTGTTTTTTTTTGGAACGCAGGCGAAGAGGAGCTTCGCGGGTTTTTGCTTTTTCTGAGCACGCAATTTTTGTGCTTACAAGCGGAACTGCCCTTACGGACGTTAAAGTCTAGTCTGTGGAGTGTAGGCCGTCAAGATCTTCTGCGAGACTTTGATGGTGGGGTCACATGTAGTTGCTTTTAGTTGCTGTGTCTCCGTAGCGTCGGAATGCAATGCGGCAGTCTACTTTGTTCCCTTCGGTAGCAACTAAGCCTAGAAATTATCATCATTCGCATCTCTCAGTTGTGCGAATGGACCAAACTAGAAGGGCCATCTATTCAGAAGGCTTAATAAAATTGATAATCTGATCTAGTGTGTTTATGCTTTATGCGTCACAGATGCTTCACTGCTGAAGGCGGTTCAATGTAGAGAGCTGCCACAGAGTATGCAATGGGGAGACACACAGATTCCCGTATAGCTGTTTTCAGCGGCTGCATACATCAGTGAAGTTGGCAGTCTACACTTGCAGCGAATTCCTTCGCTCATGTCCCCTACTTTTATGTGGATTAGTGTGCTGTGATCCTTTGAAAGTTGAGTTGTGTTTTGGATTCTGCGGTCGATGGCCTCACAGAACTCGATTCGTTGGTAGGCCTGATATCTGAGTGCGAATCTCTCAAGTATATAGTGGTGAAGCGAAGGCCTTCCGCGGTTGACGAGGACACGCAAGTGAGTCCCTTTGTAGCGTACCAAGACAGCGCCTGCGGAGCAACACACGCTGCGTCTTCGTTTTCGTTGCCCCTAAATTAATTTAATTTGTTGCGGCATCAGCACATGTGGCTATTTGTGCGTATATGCATTCGTGCATGCATGGTTTTGTTTGTTTATTCCACAGGACAGCGTTTTCCTCGCACCCACTGGCCGTCTGCTGCAGGAGCTCAACTTAAACAAATTTCGAAGAGAGTGCAAGGAAGCGTTTGGATTGCAGCCCCCAGGTTCTCGCTTAGTCCCGCCAGACAGGGATTAGAGCGACGCCCTTTCACAATTTTAAGGGCAATGCAGCTGCAGAAGCACAATCAGCGGCTGACGTTTTTAAAGGACAGGGATTCCGAAGACAACAGCCATTACGTGAGTGGCTTTGCGCAACTTACGCTTGTCGACTAATGAGCCATATAGCCAGCTCAGGCAGGAAGTAAAGTAAAATATCACCTAAAAGAGTGACGTCAAACAAGACAGACGAAGACTCGCCGGAGAAAGTTGATTTGGTGACAACGATAGAGCTATTGTTTGTGCCAACAATGTCATCGTACGTAGAGCTTTTTCTGCCGATCCCTACATTTTCTTGACAAGCTGAGGGTTGAGCAAGGCCATAGGTTGAAGTTGCCGGCTCTCCAGGATTTTAAGATTTCGACGATTGCCACAAGCGTAAAACGATATTACGATCGCACTTGTGAGGACGACGCCGGCTACAGCTGCTGACGGCGCGCGGCATTGCTCTCAATAGCTCTGGCAACGTGGTAGAATTGAACAAGACGGCTGGTAGCTCGAAAACAACCGTGGGAACATTTCAGACATCCAAAGGCATTTCCATCGCATGCGTGCCAAGTTCAAACGAATGGGAGCAGTCCCCTTCGTCCTTCACACCAATCTGGGGATGCCACAACCAATGATAGCTGAATGGAGGGATCTGCCGCGAAAAAGCTCCGATTGTGCAGCCCTAAGCTTGGACCAAAAGTACACCATATTACCTGGAACAAAATACTCTGTACGGTGGGTGACAGCTTCGGCAATAGTGAGAAAGAGCCATGGCGGTGTCAGCGGCGAAGATGCCAGCTGGTGATCAGGTGCATATCAGACTCAGTAATACTTCGTACACTGACTTTGAGCTTCGGCAGTAGGGAACTTCAGTCAGCTGTGAGGCAGTGAGGCGTAGTCTACACACACAGGTGTATGAAGGTGCCCAATATATCTGATGCTGGGAACAGGAACTCCGGTTCTAGCGACACATCTAGGAAATGATGACGCAGCGCCCATGCCCATAGTCATTTACGCACCATCCTAACATTCCATAGATCAAGCCCTTCTCCGTGCAAAGAATGAGCTCTTCGCTCTTTCTCCGCCTCTCGGGGAAACGTTCGATCAGTCCCAATCCTAAAACTAGGAAAAGTGTGAAGGATTGCTACGCATATGTTCGTCTGAGACGAAGAGAAGCTCCCTGAGCAGCGCGAAAGAACTGCATTTTCAACGCTTGCCTCTACTCCCAGGGGAAGGGCAATGCTCCCAAGTGGCACGTTTTTCAGTCGCCAGCATGAGCAATGGCGTGGAAGCTTGGCAATGAGCCTATACAGCTATAGGACTGGATACGTGCACCCTATATGGCTGGTAGTGTGACTGATGGGGTAATCCAATGTAATTTTTATAGAGCACTTTGTTTCCAAACGTCTCTAGCTGGAGCGCTACTGGCTGGAGCGGAACTGCCTTGACTCATATACCTGTACTAATGCGGCTTGTTTCCAGACCCACAGTGATGTCATTAACACTCTTCCGCCAAATTTCGAGTTACTACGCCATGGACCGACTACTTCAGAATCGAAGTAGCCCCATGTAAAACATTCTGGGTTGGCGAAAGAACATTTCTGTACTTACGAACCAAGCCTTAAGTTGATACAGAGAGCATGCGATGATAATGCAGAATGGAGGGTGCCTTGCAGCGTCCGTTGACGGCTCTTAGGGTGACGACAGCTTGTGACCGACCATTTGTCACTTTCATTAGTGGTGCTTCACCGTTATGTTCCTCCTTTCTCCTGAGTGTCGATAGCTCCGTACTTGGTCTTTAAAATCTCCTCTGCTTGCTTTCGTTCTTCTTTTGTCATTTGAGTGCCATGCTTCCTCAGGTCATTGAGGATTGATTCATTGGAAACCCCTCCTAAGCTGCCAGGAGAGGAGTCTGCCGCCTCCATATTAGATGGTGGGTGGGTTGCTGGTGGCTCCAGAGATTGCTGCCACGTTGTCTGGGCTTCAGTAGAGTGGTCGGCAGGCTGGTGGGCGGAAAACGAGTGCTGCCCCTCTTTGTGAGATGCCCTCTCGTCAGAACGAGGAGTGCTGAAGTTTTGATCAGACATTCTTCCTCTCGGTTTTGCAGCTTCCCCTGCAATAAAAAACGGTGTAATGGCGTCAACCGCTATGCAAGCAACACGGATGAAGCCAAACTGGTACCGTGTCGAAGCACTGGAGTCAAATATTAGGGCTGCAACGAATGCAAATAGGCGCAAAAGCAAATCCATAATTGGAGGAAAATGGAAGAGGCCGCGATGCGAATAAGTATTTTGTCGAAGGGACTGAGAAGCGTTACAGCAGACCGCCAGAGGAAGCCTACCTACTGCTGCACACGGAAAGCCAATTCATCTAGCCATCAGTCCTACTAAAAAACTAAAGGTGTCCGATAGAAAATGGTTTTTAATGATTTGTGAAGCCGCTGCTTGAAGCAATTCCTGGTGTGTTCCTTCTTGGTTTGCCTGACCATGGCTGGGCGATTTGGTACGGTGATCAAGTGACCTCGGGCTTCTTGCACGCTCGTGTTCTCTTGCACTCATGAGCCCTTCATTTTCCTTAGTTCTGCATATTTAAAATGATGCGTTCCATAAATATACGGAGCAGCTTTGTTGCAGCGATTTTGCTTCCTTGCAGCCACGGTGATCTGTCCAAGAGCATTCATTGCAGGTCTGCCAGTGTCCGTCGCCCTCGCCCTCACTTCGTCAACACAGTCGAAAACGTTGAATATTAGCTTACGCTGAAGAATTTTCCTCTCTTAGTAAGCTATACAGCCATTTGGACCTTTCGTACACGTAACAAAACTGATGGTGCGCTTTCATTCCCCACGGAAAAGACCTGCAGGGTTTCAGTCTTGAAGAGCTGCGTTTCTTTCTCTTAGGCTTGGAACAGCATGCCATGCTGTAAATTTACAACCAACTAGTACGAACCGAATTTTGTGCTGAATGACAGTAGCACAAGTGTAGGAAATTGCGTCTCCTTGGGAGCACCTCTAGACGCGTATACTCTGCACGAATTTCGGCTTCGCCCTACTTCAGGAAGTGATACGTTCAGTCACACTTGTTTTAGAAAGACATACATTCTATTACGAAAACAGAGCCGCCACTAATCACGAATCTTCTTAGAGAGGGTTGGTTTCACATGGTCAATGTGCCTATTCAAACGTGGTCCTGTTCCGCTCGGCAGCTGGAGGGAGTAAAATCAGTCGTTGCCTCACAGCATCTCAACAAACTTTCTCAATTCGGATAAATTTAAAGGTGCTGGACAAATACTCCGTAGTAAATTGTAGTTGCTGCCGTCATGGCTGCCGGCGTTAAACCAGTGTCACCTGGATGGGACGTGCACAATAAACAGTCCATTCTCTGGATTTTTTTTCACGGCAAGAAACAACAAGAATCCTGCTGAGTCTCATGTTGAAACCAGCCTCCGCGTCTGCACTAAAATGCAGGGTCGCCACAGTTCCCTTTGCAAAGTCTGCAGAAGAGGGGAAAACTCCGTTATTACCTGTGATTCCGTCCGAATTTTTAGACGCGTTGTATGTATGGTATACGGGGTCTCTACACTACTACCTATGGAGTATTCCCTACCAAACATATTAATTTTATAAAACAACGAAGCGAGCACGGTGGGCTTGCATAGTTCAACGCCTACTTGCTCCATGAATCCATCGTTGCGGGCTACACCACAATGAGTGGAGCCTGCTTGCACTAACCGCTCGAGGTCTCTAGCCACGCTTGCTGGCTTCATACCTGCATTACGCTTGCTGGCTTCATATCTGCATTCCATTTCTGCTGACAATTTCTCGGTGTTTTTGGCACATGGAGATGCTGGCACGCGCTCTTAGCGGTGGTACCGGTCTCTTCGGACGATGTCAGCAACAGCGTTGTGAACACCATAGAACTTTTACTGCTCAAGCTCGCTATTGAGTCTCCCAAAGTAGTGGCATGTACTTCAGCGCAAATAGATGCACTGATCCTACAGAGGTGGTGTTCACTGCACTTTGCACACTAGTTCTTGACGGACGGCAAGGTTGCGGCCACCCATGTTGGGTGCCCTTCCGAAGCAGCATTTAGGCCTCGTGATAAAGCACTTCACGGGTCCCTTGTAAGCACTCACTCATGCGCTTTCCCTGTTGATAAGACAATCAACTCTTGGCTGCAAGAAGGCGACCCTTCCTATTTTGACGCTTTGCAGCAGCATGAAAAAGGCTTCTCTTCTGAATTGAAGGGTCGGGCTTGGAGGTCTAGTTTACAGGCACAACCCGTGCGTCAAAGAACACAAAGGACTCAGATGCACAACTCATACATATACACGCGACTATCCCAAATATCGGCAGATACGTTAGAAGAAAGGTCTGGTCTTTTGGGGAAACTCATGTTCTGTTTCCGGGGGTGAGTGCGCGTCACCCCCTAAAGCAATACGGGACAGAACTGCTGCACTAACAGCCCTCGCATTGTGACATCTGAGGTGCGAGACACGAATCTCAGCGCCTCTGATCACTGTCTGAGAGAAGCTCCCAAGCCTCACGCTGTCTCCCCAAGGCCGAAGACACGTAGCCAGTCAGCTGCGGGTCCACCTAGTTGCGCCGACCGCGGGCAACGCAGGAGAGTCCCAGCGAGCTCGATGCATCCGTGCATTGACAAACAAAACTCGCAAACAACCGAAAGCGGCACAGAAAAGAAACACAAGCAGCACCTGACCCGAACTCCGAACCCCGGCCCTCTGACTCCGTCTTGCTCTCAAGATTCTGTCTAGTATGGCAGGGGCCTCCTGCCCCTGGTCATTCCAGGCGCTGGGACTCAAGGGCTCTCTGGAGTTGCTGCAGCTGCTGCTGTTGTATCTGTTGCATCCGCCGTCTTTGCAAAAATGGAAGCAAATCATTTCCTGATGAAAGAGAGGTTGCAATGCCGACTGATGGCAGGGTCTCTCCATCAGAGGGGCTTACTGTAGCTGCTGGGGCCCCTGATGGCCCGAGACGCCCAGGCATTCCTGAAAGCCCAGAAGTCCCTCCTCGGGCATCCAGACTCGATGGAATTTGCTGGAAATCCGAAACATGTGAGCCAAGCTGGGAGTAAAACCCACGGGTAGGCCCGCCGCCTCTTTCTTCCACGTCAGCGACAGAGCCAGACCGTTTGCGCGGGGCAGATCGGCCGCGGCCACTTTCAGGGGCGGCTGCATTAGCGACAGCATCCCCCCAACTGTTATCGGGGGCATCATCTACCACGTTTCGACCCAAAGAGCCAGAAGTTGTACCTACTTGGGTTCTAGGGAGGACCGGAGTGGCACCCCCTCTTCCCGATAGCATTCGGGCCAACGCATCCGTGTTCCGACTCACTGGAGTATTAAGAGGAAAGGCGGCATTACTGTTGTCTCCATACCGAAGAACCTGTTGTTGCTGCGGTGGAGGCATTCGCTGGGCCTGGCTCAGGGTGTTCGGCATGAGAGACAGAAGAAGCTTCACCGTTTCTTTTGGATCTTCCGAGCCAACGCAACTAAGTGTGTGGGGGGGCACCAATTGTTGCAGTAAAGTAAACTGACGCTCCTGCTCCTGCTGCTGTTGTTGCTGCAGCATCAGTTGAGACTGCTGGTGGGTCTGTTGCTCTGCAGGGTTCGTTGCTGTACGCACCCTGGGCTGTGGCTGTTGGTATTGATGCACAACCATATGTTGTTGCTGGCGAAGTAATTGCTGGAGATGTTCCTGCTGCAACACATGTTGCTGCTGTTGTTGCTGTTCATGCCCAAGAAAACAAGAGTTACCGGTGTTCCACCCTCCTCTACCGGCATTTAGCGTCTCGAGGCGATCCATTGCAGTAGCCGCGGCAGGGGCACCACCGCCAGTCCCCAAGTCAGCTTTATTTTGCATCACCATGCCTGGAGGCAGCTGAAAATTTCGCCACCAATCGGAGGGGTGACGCTGCTGGTGCTGCTGCCGCTGATGAGCTGCAGTCAGCGAAGCAAGGCCCACTCCAGGCCCTAAAACAAAATCTTTGTGCTGCTGCTGCTGCGTCCAGCTACCATCAGTCAGCACAGAGAGCTGCTCGCTTCCACCTCCTGTATTTAACAGAGGCGGCAATTCTCTACTTGAGAGAAGAGATCCCAGCTGTTGCTGGTGGTGCTGTTGCGTGTCTGCCAGCGTCTGCTCTTCAGCGGCCGAGGCTCTACTGGGGGTCGTAAACCACTGTACACAGTCCTCAACTCCCGGAATTTCAAATAGTGCATCGTCATCGTCGGCTGCTTTTGACGCGAATGCAAAGCGAGATGTGCTGCTGCTGCTGCTGCTGCTGCTGCTGCTCTTGCCTGATGAGGCGCCTTGAACTGTAAGCCCAGTAAACGGCACACTAGCAACGCCATCATTTGGCACCAGCTGTCCTAGAATATCTCCAGAGAAATCAACTCCTCCGCTGCCTACGTGAAACCTGCTGCCACTGCTACTGCTACTACTACTGCTGCTGCCTCTTGCATTGAACCCTTTCTTACTGTTGGGTCCACCCAACGCCTCAAGGCCCGGAGGCGGGCCAAACCTGCCTCCTCCAGGCTCTACCTGATCTGCTGCTTGAGCCATGCAACCCGGCGCACAGAGGCGTAGCAAACGCTGCTGCTGTTGCATAAACTGTTCCGCTGGGAACGAAGCAGCTGATTCACTGCTGACCAACTGAGATGCGCTACTTTCGAACTGCAGAGTTGCCAATCGTCTCTGATTCTGCTCCATTTGGTGCAAGAGGCGCTGCTGCTGCTGCGCTGGGAGCAGCGTTTGTAGTTGCTGCGGGCATTCATCAGCACCAGCTGTAGCAGAAGAGGCCGACAGTGCCGGTTCCCCAATGGACTGGAGAGGGGCCCCTCGAAACTCGGTACCCATTGCCTGCAGCGTCCCTTTTAGTGCTGGCCAGCATGCAGCATGCTGAGTTACGTCTTCTTCTTCCTCTCGGTGTTGCTGTTCCTCTTGCTGCTGCCTCACGATACCAGCACCTGAGGGTCGCTCCGACGAGGCTGCATGTGCACTTCCCTTCTCCTCCGCTGCGGAGTTTTCCGTTTCTGCTTCAGAAACTTTGGATTCGTCACAAACTGGTGGCAAAGACTCCGTGCCAGCTGCAGCAACTTCTTGTTCATTCATCGCGTGGAAGTCACACGCATCCGGCAAGGCATTGTCCACGCTCCCAGTAAGGCTGCCTGGCAAGCCGCCAATAGTGAGTCGCTTGGTGTCCTCTTCTTTTGCATGTTCTGTGTCTTCCGACTC